CACGCTTTCTACTCTCTCCCCACACTCTCTCTACTCTCCCCACACTCTCTCTCTACTCTCCCCCCACTCTCTCTCTACTCTCCCCCCACACTCTCTCTACTCTCCCCCCACTCTCTCTACTCTCTCCCACACTCTCTCTACTCTGCCCACACTCTCTCTCTACTCTCCCCCCACTCTCTCTCTACTCCCCCCACTCTCTCTACTCTCCGCCCTCTCTACACTCTCCCCCCACTCTCTCTACTCCCCCCACTCTCTCTACTCTCCCCCCACACTCTCTCTACTCTCCCCCCACTCTCTACTCTCCCCACTCTCTCTACTCTCCCCCCACTCTCTCCACTCTCGCCCCACTCTCTCTACTCTCCCCCCACTCTCTCTACTCTCCCACCACTCTCTCTACTCTCCCCACACTCTCTACTCTCCCCCCCCCCCACTCTCTCTACTCTCCCCCCCACTCTCTATACTCTCCCCCCACTCTCTCTACTCTCCCCACACTCTCTACTCTCCCCACACTCTCTTTACTCTCCCCCCACGCTCTCTACTCTCTCCCCACTCTCTCTACTCTCCCCCCACACTCTCTACTCTCTCCCCACTCTCTACTCTCCCTACACTCTCTCTACTCTCCCCCCACACTCTCAACTCTCTCCCCACTCTCTCTACTCTCCCCCCACTCTCTACTCTCCCCCCCACTCTCTCTACTCTCCCCCCACTCTCTCTACTCTCCCCCCACTCTATCTACTCTCCCCACACTCTCTCTACTCTCCCCCCACTCTCTACTCTCCCCCCACTCTCTCTACTCTCCCCCCACTCTCTCTACTCTCCCCCCACACTCTCTACTCTCCCCACACTCTCTCTACTCTCCCCACACACTCTCTACTCTCCCCACACTCTCTCTACTCTCCACCCCACTCTCTACTCTCCCCTCACACTCTCTACTCTCCCCCCACTCTCTCTACTCTCCCCCCACTCTCTCTACTCTCCCCCCACTCTCTCTACTCTCCCACACACTCTCTACTCTCCCCACACTCTCTCTATTCTCCACCCCACTCTCTCTACTCTCCCACACACTCTCTACTCTCCCCACACTCTCTCTACTCTCCCCACACACTCTCTATTCTCCACCCCACTCTCTCTACTCTCCCCACACACTCTCTACTCTCCCCCCACACTCTCTCTATTCTCCACCCTACTCTCTACTCTCCCCACACTCTCTCTACTCTCCCCACACACTCTCTATTCTCCACCCCACTCTCTACTCTCCCCACCCTCTCTACTCTCCCCCCACTCGCTCTACTCTCCCCCCACTCTCTCTACTCTCCCAACTCACTCACTCTACTCTCCCCCCACTCTCTCTACTCTCCCAACTCACTCACTCTACTCTCCCCCCACTCTCTCTACTCTCCCCCCACTCTCTACTCTCCCCCCACACTCTCTACTTTCCCCGCACTCTCTCTACTCTCCCCACACACTCTCTACTCTCCCCACACTCTCTACTCTCCCCCCACTCTCTCTACTCTCCCCCCACTCTCTCTACTCTCCCCACACTCTCTCTACTCTCCCCCCACTCTCTCTACTCTGGTGGTGGTGCTGGTTGGTAGTGGTGCTGTGGTAGTGCTGGCGGTGGTGCTGTGGTGGTGGTCGTGGTGGTGCTGGTGGTGCTGCTGGTGGTGGTCGTAGTGGTGGTGCTGGTGGTGGTGGTGCTGGTGGTGGTAGTGGTGGTGCTGCTGGTGGTGGTCGTGGTGCTGCTGGTGGTGGTCGTGGTTGGTGGTGCTGGTGGTGGTGGTGCTGGTGGTGGTAGTGGTGGTGCTGCTGGTGGTGGTCGTGGTGGTGCTGTGGTGGTGCTGGTGGTGGTGGTGCTGGTGGTGGTAGTGGTGGTGCTGCTGGTGGTGGTCGTGGTGGTGCTGGTGGTGCTGCTGGTGGTGGTCGTGGTTGGTGGTGCTGGTGGTGCTGGTGGTGGTAGTGCTGGTGGTAGTGGTCGTGGTGCTGCTGTGGTGCTGGTGGTGCTGTGGTGGTGCTGGTGGTGTTGGTGGTGCTGTGGTAGTGCTGGTGGTGGTGGTGCTGGTGGTGGTAGTGGTGGTGCTGCTGGCGGTGGTCGTGGTGCTGCTGGTGGTGGTGCTGTGGTGCTGCTGGTGGTGGTCGTGGTTGGTGGTGCTGGTGGTGGTAGTGGTGGTGCTGCTGGTGGTGGTCGTGGTGGTGCTGGTGGTGCTGTGGTGCTGCTGGTGGTGGTCGTGGTTGGTGGGGCTGGTGGTGGTGGTGCTGGTGATGGTAGTGCTGGTGGTAGTGGTCGTGGTGCTGCTGTGGTGCTGGTGGTGCTGTAGTGGTGCTGTAGTGGTGCTGGTGGAGCTGGTGGTGGTGCTGGTGGTGGTGGTGCTGGTGGTGGTAGTGCTGGTGGTGCTGGTGGTGGTAGTGCTGTGGTAGTGCTGGTGGTGCTGGTGGTGGTAGTGGTGCTGCTGGTGGTGGTGCTGTGGTGCTGCTGGTGGTGGTCGTGGTTGGTGGTGGTGGTCGTTGTTGCTGCTGTGGTGGTGCTGCTGCTGTGCTGGGTTGGTGCTGCTCGTGGTGCTGCTGTGGTGCTGGTGGTGCTGTGGTGGTGCTGGTGGTGCTGGTGGTGCTGTGGTGGTAGTGCTGGTGGTGGTGGTGCTGGTGGTGGTAGTGCTGTGGTAGTGCTGGTCGTGGTGCTGCTGGTGGTGGTGCTGTGGTGCTGCTGGTGGTGGCCGTGGTTGGTGGTGCTGGTGGTGGTTGTTGCTGCTGCTGTGGTGGTGCTGGTGGTGGTTGTTGCTGCTGCTGTGCTGGGTTGGTGCTGCTCGTGGTTGGTGCTGTGGTGCTAGTGGTCGTGGTTGGTGGAGCTGGTGGTAGTGGTTGCTGCTGCTGTGGTGGTGCTGGTGGTGGTGGTGCTGGTGGTCGTGGTTGTTGTTGTTGGTGGTGGTGCTGGTGGTTGTTGTTGCTGCTGGTTGTTGTTGCTGGTGCTGGTGGTTGTTGTTGCTGCTGGTGGTGGTTGTTGCTGGTGGTGGTGCTGCTATTGCTGCTGCTGTGCTGGGTTGGTGCTACTCGTGGTTGGTGGTGCTGGTGGTAGTGCTTGTTGTTGCTGCTGCTGCTGCTTCTGCTCGTGGTTGGTGGTGCTGGTGGTGCTGGTGGTAGTGCTTGTTGTTGCTGCTGCTGCTTCTGCCCGTGGTTGGTGGTGCTGGTGGTGCTGGTGGTAGTGCTTGTTGTTGCTGCTGCTGCTTCTGCCCGTGGTTGGTGGTGCTGGTGGTGCTGGTGGTAGTGCTTGTTGTTGCTGCTGCTGCTTCTGCCCGTGGTTGGTGGTGCTGGTGGTGGTGGTGCTGGTGGTAGTGCTTGTTGTTGCTGCTTCTGCTCGTGGTTGGTGCTGGTGGTGGTGGTGCTGGTGGTAGTGCTTGTTGTTGCTGCTGCTGCTTCTGCCCGTGGTTGGTGGTGCTGGTGGTGCTGGTGGTAGTGCTTGTTGTTGCTGCTTCTGCCCGTGGTTGGTGGTGGTGGTGGTGCTGGTGGCAGTGCTTGTTGTTGCTGCTTCTGCCCGTGGTTGGTGGTGGTGGTGGTGCTGGTGGTAGTGCTTGTTGTTGCTGCTTCTGCTCGTGGTTGGTGCTGGTGGTGGTGGTGCTGGTGGTAGTGCTTGTTGTTGCTGCTGCTGCTTCTGCCCGTGGTTGGTGGTGCTGGTGGTGCTGGTGCTGGTGGTGCTGGTGCTGGTGGTGCTGGTGGTGCTGGTGGCAGTGCTTGTTGTTGCTGCTTCTGCCCGTGGTTGGTGGTGGTGGTGTGCTGGTGGTAGTGCTTGTTGTTGCTGCTTCTGCCCGTGGTTGGTGGTGGTGGTGGTGCTGGTGGTAGTGCTTGTTGTTGCTGCTTCTGCCCGTGGTTGGTGGTGCTGGTGGTGCTGGTGGTAGTGCTTGTTGTTGCTGCTTCTGCCCGTGGTTGGTGGTGGTGGTGGTGCTGGTGGTAGTGCTTGTTGTTGCTGCTTCTGCCCGTGGTTGGTGGTGGTGGTGGTGCTGGTGGTAGTGCTTGTTGTTGCTGCTTCTGCCCGTGGTTGGTGGTGGTGGTGGTGCTGGTGGTAGTGCTTGTTGTTGCTGCTTCTGCCCGTGGTTGGTGGTGGTGGTGCTGGTGGTAGTGCTTGTTGTTGCTGCTTCTGCCCGTGGTTGGTGGTGGTGCTGGTGGCAGTGCTTGTTGTTGCTGCTTCTGCCCGTGGTTGGTGGTGCTGGTGGTGGTGGTGCTGGTGGTAGTGCTTGTTGTTGCTGCTTCTGCCCGTGGTTGGTGGTGGTGCTGGTGCTGGTGGTAGTGCTTGTTGTTGCTGCTTCTGCCCGTGGTTGGTGGTGGTGGTGGTGCTGGTGGTAGTGCTTGTTGTTGCTGCTTCTGCCCGTGGTTGGTGGTGGTGGTGGTGCTGGTGGTAGTGCTTGTTGTTGCTGCTTCTGCCCGTGGTTGGTGGTGGTGGTGGTGCTGGTGGTAGTGCTTGTTGTTGCTGCTTCTGCCCGTGGTTGGTGGTGGTGCTGGTGGCAGTGCTTGTTGTTGCTGCTTCTGCCCGTGGTTGGTGGTGGTGGTGGTGCTGGTGGTAGTGCTTGTTGTTGCTGCTTCTGCCCGTGGTTGGTGGTGGTGGTGGTGCTGGTGGTAGTGCTTGTTGTTGCTGCTTCTGCCCGTGGTTGGTGGTGGTGGTGGTGCTGGTGGTAGTGCTTGTTGTTGCTGCTTCTGCCCGTGGTTGGTGGTGGTGGTGGTGCTGGTGGTAGTGCTTGTTGTTGCTGCTTCTGCCCGTGGTTGGTGGTGGTGGTGGTGCTGGTGGTAGTGCTTGTTGTTGCTGCTTCTGCCCGTGGTTGGTGGTGGTGCTGGTGGCAGTGCTTGTTGTTGCTGCTTCTGCCCGTGGTTGGTGGTGGTGGTGGTGCTGGTGGTAGTGCTTGTTGTTGCTGCTTCTGCCCGTGGTTGGTGGTGGTGGTGGTGCTGGTGGTAGTGCTTGTTGTTGCTGCTTCTGCCCGTGGTTGGTGGTGGTGGTGGTGCTGGTGGTAGTGCTTGTTGTTGCTGCTTCTGCCCGTGGTTGGTGGCGGCAGCGGATGCGATTTTCCGCGCATTTTTCGGGAGCGATTTTATTTCGAGGCGGCGCTTCAGCCGCGCAGCCTCCGCGTGGCGGCTCGGCGACATTTTACTCGCAGGCGGCTCCCCTCCACCACCACCATCACCACCACCACCACCATCATCACCACCACCACCACAGGCAGCCGCTACATCTCTTCTCCTCTTCATCAACATCGTCCACCACCAGCAGCACCACCACTACCACCACCAACAACAACAACAGCAGCAGCAGCAGCAACCGCGCTTCTTCCATCTGCCCCGTCGCCAGCTAGGGCTGACCTCGGTCGCTCGACCATCAACAACAACCACCATCAACAACAACCACCACCAACAACAACCACCACCAACAACAACCACCACCGTCTCTTCTGTCGTCGAGCACCAGCAGCGAGGCGGAGTTGACGACGCTGGTGGTGGGAGGATTGTTGGGGGGGTCGGGGGTGGGGGGTGGGGGGACGACTTCTTCCCGGTCAACAACAACAACAACATCACCAACAACAACATCAACAACAACAATCGTCTTTGTTGTGCTCGACCTGAGCGAGTGGAGGAGTTGGGGCGAGTCGTGGTCTTGGACGAGTTCCGCTCGGGGTGCCCTTGGGGGGGAGGGGGGTGCTGGTGGTGGTTGTTGTTGTTGTTGATATAGTTGTTGTTTAAATAGTTTAAATAGTCGTCGTAGTTGCTGCTGCTGCTGCTGCTGTTGTTTATAACGCCGCCGCCGCCGCTGCTGCTGCTGCTACCGTCAATTATTGAATCAGTGGACGACTCACTCCAACAACAACCACCACAACAACCAGCACAACAACCACCAGCACCACCACCACCACGTGTAGCAGTAAGGGGGGTAGCCATGAACAAGTTGTACATCGGCAACGTGAGCGAGTCTGCGGCGGCGTGCGACCTGGAGTCGCTCTTCTCGGAGCGGCAGCTGCCGTGGCTGGGCCACTTCGTGCTCAAGGCGGGCGGCTTCGCCTTCGTCGACTGCCCCGACGAGACGGGGGCTCTGAGAGCCATCGAGACCCTCTCGGGTGGGTTGGTGGCAACAGCAACTGCAGCATGATCAGCTGCATCATCATCAGCATCATCATCATGAGCATCACCAGCAGCAGCATCACCAGCATCATCATGAGCATCATCATCATGATGGCTCTGAGAGCCATCGAGACCCTCTCGGGTGGGTTGGTGGCAACAGCTGCTGCAGCATGATCAGCATCATCATCAGCATCATCATCATGAGCATCACCAGCAGCAGCATCACCAGCATCATCATGAGCATCATCATCATGATGGCTCTGAGAGCCATCGAGACCCTCTCGGGTGGGTTGGTGGCAACAGCTGCTGCAGCATGATCAGCATCATCATCAGCATCATCATCATGAGCATCACCAGCAGCAGCATCACCAGCATCATCATGAGCATCATCATCATGATGGCTCTGAGAGCCATCGAGACCCTCTCGGGTGGGTTGGTGGCAACAGCTGCAGCATGATCAGCATCATGAGCATCATTATCAGCATCATCATGAGCATCATAATTATGAGCATCATAATCATCATCAGCAGCAGCATCATGAGCATCATCATGATCATCAGCATCATGAGCATCATCATCATGATCATCATCATGTGCATCATAATTATGAACATCATAATCATCACCATCATGACCATCAGCAGCAGCAGCATCATGAGCATCATCATGATCATCATCATGATCAGCATCATCATCATGAGCATCATGATCAACACCATCATCATCATAATTATGAGCATCATAATTATGGGCATCATAATCATCACCATCATTATGACCATCATCATGAGCATAATCATCAGCATCATCATCATCATGAGCATCATCATCAACACCATCATCATGAGCATCATCACCATCATCATCATGAGCATCACCATCATCATGATCATCATCAACACCATCACCATCATCATGAGCATCACCATCATAACATCACCATCAGCATCACCAGCAGCATCACCATCATGAGCAGCAGCATCATGATCAGCATCATCTGTTAAAGGTGTATACACACACAGGACAGTATACACCGCCAGGCGAACACGCTGGTGGTTCACTTACACGAGCGCTACTCACAGGTCAACACAACATCCATCATCATCCACCACCCATCATCATCCACCACCACCCATCATCATCCACCACCACCACCCATCATCATCCACCACCACCCATTATCATCATCCACCAACCATCATCATCCACCACTCAGATCCACGTTGGTGCTCACCCATTCACTCACTCATTCTCTACTCACAGGGCACCACACCATCCACCCATCATCCACCAACCATCCATCCATCAACCATCCATCCACCAACACCCAGATCCACGTTGGTGCTCACTCATTCACTCACTCGCCACTCACAAGGCACTCCACCATCCACCCATCATCATCCACCAACCATCACCATCATCATCCACCACCCATCATCCACCAACACCCATCAGATCCACGTTGGTGTTCACCCATTCACTGACTCGCCACTCACAGGGCACCACACCATCCAACCATCACCCATCATCATCATCCATCATCATCATCCACCACCCATCATCATCCACCAACAACCATCCACCAATACCCACCAGATCCACGTGGGTGCTCACCCATTCACTCATTCGCCACTCACAGGGCACCACACCATCCAACCATCACCCATCATCATCACCCATCATCCACCATCATCATCCACCACCCATCACCCACCAACAACCATCCACCAACACCCACCAGATCCACGTGGGTGCTCACCCATTCACTCATTCGCCACTCACAGGGCACCACACCATCCAACCATCACCCATCATCATCACCCATCATCCACCATCATCATCCACCACCCATCACCCACCAACAACCATCCACCAACACCCACCAGATCCACGTTGGTGCTCACCCATTCACTCACAAGGCGTGTTAGAGACGATGCAGACCCATACACTCTCATTCACACCCATGCAGGATGATACAGAGACTCATTCACAGACATCGGCTCACAGACACACTGAGACTCGCCTATACATACATACAAACTCACATGCATCTACATACAGACATACATACAGACTCACATACATGTAGACCCACGTAACATACAGACTCGTGCATGTTTAACTCACTCACATACACACGGAACGATAGACTCATTCACAGACATCAAGATTCACTTTCAGATTCACTCGCATACACAAATACATTCACTCACGGACACAAACTCACACAGAGTACATAGCCTCACATCGATTCACTTGTATAGATACACAGCACAGACACTCACTGATGCAGCAGTAAGGACACACAATACAGATTCACAATCTCAAAGACACACCAACACGTGCAGTTATCATTCTCACGTAACGCACTTGAAACATAAACTCGTCCAACATGTAACTCTAACACATCCTCACTCACATGCTTATCTCTCTCTCTCTCGTGTACACACAACACACACAGCACACAACACACACAACATACATAATACACACAACACACACACAACACACATAATACACACAGCACATAACAACACACAACACACACAGCACAACACACACACAACACACATAATACACACCACACACAACAACACATAACACAACCCACAACACACATAACACACAACACACACATAACACACACAAAACACACGACACACATAACACAACACAACACGCAACACACAACACACACAACACACACGCAACACACGCAACACACACAACACACACACCACACAATACACACACACAACACACCACACAACACACACACAACACACAATACACACAACACACACGCAACACACATAATACACACAACATATAACAACACACACCACACACACAACATACACACAACACATCGCACAACACATCACACAACACATCACACAACACATCACACAACACACACACAACACCACGCTTAGTCAAAGTCGGCTTTCCATTGGCTAGAACGTCGCCTCTTGGTGTGCGAAATGTGAGAATCTCTGTGACGTTTAATGAAGGAGGCCTCGCTCGTGTTCATGTTTGCGCGAGATGTTGGGGACTTAGCCGCACAACACACGGACGATGGTCCCTCTAGTGATGGTGGTGTGGTGGTGGTCCTGGTGTGGTGGTGGTCCTGGTGTGGTGGTGGTGGTCCTGGTGTGGTGGTGGTCCTGGTGTGGTGGTGGTGGTCCTGGTGTGGTGGTGGTGGTCCTGGTGTGGTGGTCCTGGTGTGGTGGTGGAGTTGGTGGTTCGTGTGATGATGGTCACTAGTGTGGTGGTGGTTCGTGGTGTTGATGGTGGTGGAGGTGTTGATGGTGGTGGTGTTGATGGTGGTGGTGGTTCGTGTGATGATGGTCACTAGTGTGGTGGTGGTTCGTGGTGTTGATGGTGGTGGAGGTGTTGATGGTGGTGGTGTTGATGGTGGTGGTGGTTCGTGTGATGATGGTGGAGGAGTTGTTGATGGTGGTGGTGGTTCGTGGTGTTGATGGTGGAGGAGTTGTTGATGGTGGTGTTGATGGTGGTGGTGGTTCGTGTGATGATGGTCACTGGTGTGGTGTGGTGGTTCGTGGTGTGGATGGTGGTGGAGGTGTTGATGGTGGTGGAGGTGTTGATGGTGGTGGAGGTGTTGATGGTGGTGGAGGTCCGTGTGATGATGGTCCCTAGTGTGGTGGTGGTGGTGTTGATGGTGGTGGTGGTGTTGATGGTGGTGGTGGTGTTGATGGTGGTGGTGGTTCGTGTGATGATGGTTATGGTGGTAGTTCGTGTGTTGATGGAGAACAACACCCACACTGCAATCACAAGGCACCACACTTCGTAATGAACACACACACGTGAGCGATATTGTTAATATAAATATGTAGCGCATGCCTGTGTGTACACTAATGATTGTTATATACACCAGCAGTAGCAGTGTGTGTAGTGGTAGTAGTAGCAAAGTGTGTGGTAGTGTGTGTAGTGGTAGTAGTGTGTGTAGTGGTAGTAGTGGTAGTAGTGTGTGTAGTGGTAGTAGCAGTGTGTGTCGTGTGTAGTGGTAGTAGTAGCAGTGTGTGTTGTGTGTAGTGGTAGTAGTAGCAGTGTGTGTTGTGTGTAGTGGTAGTAGTAGCAGTGTGTGTTGTGTGTAGTGGTAGTAGTAGCAGTGTGTGTTGTGTGTAGTGGTAGTAGTAGTGTGTGTGTAGTAGTAGTGTGTGTAGTAGTAGTGGTAGTAGTAGCAGTGTGTGTAGTAGTAGTGTGTGTAGTAGCAGTAGCAGTGTGTGTGTGTGGTGGTAGTAGTGGTAGCAGTGTGTGTTGTGTGTAGTGGTAGTAGTAGCAGTGTGTAGTGGTAGTGTGTGTAGTGGTAGTAGCAGTGTGTGTGTAGTGGTAGTAGCAGTGTGTGTAGTAGTGGTAGTAGTGGTAGCAGTGTGTGTGTGTTGTGTGTAGTAGTGTGTGTAGTGGTAGTAGTGTGTAGTAGTAGTAGTGTGTGTGTAGTAGTAGTGTGTGTAGTAGTAGTGTGTGTGTGTAGTAGTAGTGGTAGCAGTGTGTGTAGTAGTAGTGTGTGTAGTAGTAGTAGTAGTGTGTTAGTAGTAGAAGTGTGTGTGTAGTAGTGTGTGTAGTGGTAATAGCAGTGTATGTAGTAGTGGTAACAGTGTGTGTGTGTTGTGTGTAGTAGTAGTAGTAGTGTGGGTAGTAGTGGTAGTAGTGTGTGTAGTGAGTGTGTAGCAGTAGTAGTAGCAGTGTGTGTTGTGTGTGTAGTAGTGGTAGCAGTGTGTGTGTAGTAGTGGTAGCAGTGTGTGTGTAGTAGTGGTAGTAGCAGTGTGTGTAGTGGTAGTAGTAGTAGTGTGTGTAGTGGTAGCAGTGTGTGTGTAGCAGTGTGTGTAGTAGTATCAGTGTGTGTGTGGTAGTGGTAGTAGTAGCAGTGTGTGTGTAGTAGTGGTAGTAGTGGTAGTGTTGTGTGTTGTGTTCCCGCCATGTCCACTGCCTTTCCCCTTTTGTATCCCCCGGGCCAACTCGGCGTGCAGAGCGA